CATATCAATGCGTGCACCATGTTTTTTCTCCCACACTGTTTACACTAGATTACTGCTGCACTTTATGGAATCCAAATGTTCAATCAATGTCTGAAAAGCTGTACTAAAACAAAATTTTGTTTTGTATAAACTTTGTGTACATAAAATGACACTAAAAGTTGTCAAAGTTTACATTTAATTTTTTTCCAGAAATGTTGCCCTGTGGTGGTTGTCATCAAACACATCCTGCTGGTCTGCAGCTCCTTTACCCATGCCAGTGTGGTGGATTCTTTTATCTGTACAAACTATGCAGATCTCAGTTTAATATATCTCTGCCTCTGAGGAGAGGAACATATTAGTACATTATTTGTGTTTTCATTTTGTTTTGAGCACACATTTTTTCAATCAAATTGAGGTAATTTTGAGTGGGAAGTTTGATCGCCTAGAGCTTTAATAATATTTTTTTGCTGAATGTGATAAACAGAAACTCGACAATGAGGTTCTAATGGATCCCCTCCAAAAAATGCTAGGTCTAATGAGAAAAAAAAGAAAGCAAATAAATTTATTGGTGGTTAAATGTGCCAGTAAATCCACCTCCAACACAGAATCCCTTATTTGTGCAAACCTCAAGAAAAGGTCAAAGCTTGGCCTGAGCTAAAAATCTCAAAAAATGTATGTTGCTCCATAAAATGCTTTGAGTAGTGATGGTGAGATGAAGCCTCATGAGGCATTGAAATGTTTGGCCAAATTGCTTCAACGATCCCCACAGTTCATGAAGCTTCATGTGAATATTTCTCCACCTACTGGAGTGCATGATTACATGCAGGTTATTTTATTTTTTCCCCATTTAAGTTCTTTTGAAATTGTTAATGATAGTAGTGTATAATAAAATCTTTTGTAAGATTCTTTTTAGTGTAAAATGTCTTAGTAAAGAAAATCATTTTAGCTACACTATTTTTCTGCAATTTTAGTGAAATAAGCTCAAGCAGACAGTGAAAGTGTTTGTGCAAATTGGGCAAAGATGAGCAAAATAAAAGGTTTTAGTCATTTTTCTTCAAACATCATAGTTTTTTCACAGTTTTTGGTTTTAATCGGGTTGGAAGTTATGTGTTCAACAAATCTTTTGGCTAAACCAACCAATCTAATTTGGCAGTGTTTTTACCCAATCTATATTTGTATAAGGGCAAACCAATACAAAATAGTCACATTAGCCAAAATAATTGTTAAGTATTATCGCGACTTTCAAAAGTCAACCTCAGGAGTGGAAGTCAATGTCTTAGAGCTGACACCACTAGCAATAAGCAATACTACTTAACACTACTAATATTACAACTGTAACTAGTGGCTTGCTCAGATTTTAGATATTTCATTACATTGTTTAATCTGACCAAAACAGTTTTAACAACTAGATTGTTGTTTTTCCAACCAATCTATTCTTAGAATCTATCAAAAAATGTTCCCACTGATAGCTCTGCTCCAAACGCCCACATCTTGACTGAGTAGTGAGGCTATTTAAATACCTGTTGAAGTTCTCACGCGGTCTGATCCGCTTCCTTAAGCGGTCACGTGGTATCACGGTAGAGAGGTTTCAGACGTCATCAATTATGGCCACTCCCCCAAATAAATCAGGCCTCGACACGCGCCTTGGGAAACACCCCCTCCACTACCGGACACATGCCTCGAAGCCTCGGCTCATGTCATAACATCACTAGCTTTGAGTCATCATTGAATTTCATTTTCAAATAGAAATCCTTTAAGGCAGGGGTCTTCAACGTTTTCCAGGCCAAGGACCCCCAAACTGATGGCGAAATGGAGCGGGGACCCCCTAATTATATATATTGTATGAAATTGTGTTATATCAAACTGGTCCTATAGTCACTCTATTACATATGGGGATTATTAAAGTATTTCTGATTCTGATTCCTGGTTGATGGGACAGGTGTTGTGAATTAAACGGTGTCCAGCTTGAAAGAGCTCCTGTGTGTCGCTGAATGTGAGCATTGATGAGTGAAAGACATCTTCTGCCTCCATTTATCTGTTTACTACAGTGTGTTGATTTCATGTTAATGTGGATTTAAAGACATTTCAATTAGGGGGGGAAAAAAATTGCAGTGGTGAATATAAAAAAAGTCTAATTAACCAAAACTTTTGCGACCCCCATGCAGTACCTCCATGGCCCCCCTAGGGGTCACGGACCCCCTGTTGAAGACCTACGCTTTAAGGTGTTTCATTTAGAACTGGATCCCTCCTTGTACAGGCTAGTTTATATGTTTGATAAGAGATGATAGAGGTAGTTTAACTTTCTAATAACAGCTCAATATGAATGCTAGTTTTCCAATCCAGAAAGAGAGCAGTATTAATGAGGATTATTCAGAGATGCATTAAGCAAAATATAGCTTTATAACATAGTTAAAATCAGTTTATTTTGCATAGAAATATAAAGTAACTGTTGGGTGTTATTTAAACATAACAAATATGCTTTTGTAGATGTTTACCAGGCGCTTTAAGAATGTTTTTGACGTGAAAGATGGAAATGTGGATTTGAAATCATTCACTGGAGACAATAAGCTGCACATCATGCATGATCTCATGGATTACAGCACACATTTCTTCCCTGGAGAAACGTTTCCTTGATATTTCCTGGTGCAGGAGTGCAAAGATTATATGTCTAGATCCCTGACCCTTTCAGTCCAAAAACTACCTACTGACCTCAGCACCTCAGAGGAGGAACGACTCATTGATTTCAGCTAGGATTCAACAGGGAGTCTGCTTTTAAAGTCAAAGACATTGGCTGCATTTAGGTTTGGGGTGGAAAGAAATTACCCATTGCTGAGTAAGAGTTAGTCTGTGGCCTTAACACAAAACACGTATGCAACAAATACTACTGTCCTGCAATTTAGCTTTTCCTTAAAAAAAAAAAAACCCACTGGTGTAAAGGTTTCACCAACATGAAGTAATGGATAATTTCTTTCAGCCTAAGTATCGTGTTTAGGTAGCAGTTAGCCTGTTTTGGTATTTTCCCATTTTGTTTAAGTCTTGCATATCTTTGTGTACAGTAAAATCAAATTGTGGGGTATTGTTTATTACTTTTAAAACAGTTGTTCAAACAAAGAGTCTTAATCAGCTGAGTCCATCAAAGTAGCAGGACAGAACTAGAAATACTTCCTATTAAGAGTCCCAAACACCTGGCACAGGTTCGGGAAGGCCTATGCCAGGGTGCTGGAGTGGAAAGTCCGGATGATGGTTGGACCTCTACTTCAGGAGGAACAGTGCGATTTTCATTAATGCCCTGGAACAGTGGACCAGGACTCCGTTTCATGAAGCAGGTTTAACAAAGTCAGATTCAAATCCTAAACTCTAAATTGATTTAGCCTAATGGCGGGAATTTTTGGTTTCACAACGGCTGCTATGAATTAGGTCAATCAACTCCAAATAGAACTACTCAGAGTTTAGCACGTGCATAACAAGTAAGAAAAGCCATTATCAGTGGAGCACCAAGTCACCATGATATAAGGCAAGAGGAAGTGCCTATTTCACCCCACTGGCAAGAGATTTTAATGCAGAAATGAAAAAAAGGAGAATGTGTTCAAAAGAACGACAAACAGTTCTACAACTGCAAAGGAGAGGAAGATGGTGAAGGAGAAGATGCTGCTTGAGTTAATGTGTAATGCACTCTTCTCTCTATTGTTCTATTTTTAGTTCACTAAAATAAGTTTTCCTGATAAAAATCCCACTCCTAGACTGAACTGTAATTATATATTTTCTAAATTACATATTTGTAGTAGGAGCTGAATTATAGAAATAAAAAAATTATACTAGTAAGAATTAAGTGTCAAACAGACACACAATGTTTGCTTTTCGGACCTAATGCTTGTAACGGACCTTGTGAATGAGATCTTTTCTTATGCACAAAACTACAAAAAAAAAAACGTCCTAAATCAGGAAATAAAACGTGATTGGCTGTAAGGAGAGCGGAAACAGAGGATACTCCGAATTTACTGAAGAAAACCTGCTACCGACCAGGTTAGCTCTGGGGAGAATGTTACTACAGTAACTGAAACAGAGGTCGAGGAAACTCTCTTTGTGAACAAGATAAGTAAGATTTGGCCTTTTTTCAAGTTTATACAATGTATAGTTTTCAGTAAACCTGCTTCTTGAAATGGACCCCAGCTCTATACCCTATGCAGGATGCAAGGGTTTTGTTGACGTGAAGAAAGGACTTGACCGTGTCCTTCCTGTTGCCCTGCGGGGGACGGTACAGGTGTATAGAGTCAGAGGGGCCATCTTTACTAGGGGCCATCCAGTCTGTGTACAAGGAGCAGAGCAGGAGTTTGGTCAAAGTTGCCAGAAGGAGGCCCAGCGGATAACCTGGAACACGATAGAGGGACAATGTCTCTCCTCTGACCTAGGAGCACCTCTGGATACCTTCAGCAGAGCTGGAGACGGTGTCTGTCGAGAGGGAAGTCTGGGAGACTCTGCTAAGACTGTTGCCCCCAAAACCCAGTCCCGGTTGAAGCGGAAAATATAAAGTAGGAGTACAAGTTGCAAAGATTTAAAAGTTCTTACCTTTAAAACTCCAGACCTAGTTTCTTCGCCAGACATCAGAGCATCACTTCTAAAGTATTTTGATGTTGTAAGGCGATCTTGTTGCATCCCCTTCTTACAGTATGTCACATGATCCGGTCTCACATAAACATCCTATTAGCCGATTGGAAATCATTTCCTAATATCCTGATTTAATGGATTAAAACTTAAGAATACTATCAGGGTGTTATCCGAGATAATATATTTTTTGGACAAGTGATGAATTCAGTGGCAGGAAAGAGTTAGAACTTTCACTGGAGCTTGAGTAAAGCATAGCTGCCTTTTACCCGAAAGACTGTGATCTGTTTAATCCATCTAGATCCCAGTGTTTAAATATTTTTTTCCTGTAGAGCATTTGGTTGATAGAATATGAGAGTTAGAGCAGTGTTTTATATAGAAAGTAGAAAAGTGAATGTGTTTTTGCTCCCTTCTTTCAGAACATCAGAGTGCTTTTCAACATCCGAGTGGTGGGAGGATCTACGTTTTACAACTACCTTTCACCTCAGGACGGTCGACCGCTCTATCATCCCGCCGTGGACAGGTGAGGGTGTGAAAATACATCTCACGTCATGATTACTGATATCCCCCTTAAAGCCTCATACAGTCCTTAGAGAAAACCCAGGCATGCCTCTGCTTTTTGTCCACTGAGTTTCTCATCATCTGCCAGAGCGGATCTGAGCAACGTGTGATTTTCAGCTTTTAATCATTGGGTGTTGATTACATTTCCTGCTAAATCCATGCAGTAACATGCCCTCATTCCCTTGCTCCCTTGATTTCACAAAACAAAAATAGTTGTGATGTAGTCTTGTAATCTTTGCTTTCATTAACGTTTCTATCCACTACACTGCATGGACAGTGCGCTCTCAATGAATAGAAATATCACTAGTTTGTTTTAAAGGAAGGTTTAAAGGTTTTGCTTGTATTTTAAATGCTGAAACTGCATTTTGCATTATGGGACATTAGGACCAGGCTTTTAAACATTGGCTTCAAATAATCTGTTCATATGTAGTGTTTCTAACCTCTCTGGAAGATTCATGGTCTTTTAAACTATCGCCACTCTTCCTGTGGCACATCAAGCAATTTGATCTACTCATCCCACTCTAGAATTTTCCATGAAATGCTGCAAAATTACAAAAGTGCTTTAAGATTCAAAGGAGGCAAATCTTACAAGTGGATGTGTGGCAACACCATATAAGTATTGTTACTTTGCCTAAAGTAGAGATCCTCTGATTCAGTGTTATCTTATTGGTCTCTATATTAAAGAGAATTCTTGATCGGCTATAAAAAGCAGACTGTGATGCACAGGTAGGAGTTTCAAATCTCTGTAGAGAGTTTGGTAAGAGCATTAAAAAAAGATAGCCCTTCATACTCCAGTTGTGTTTTAATTAATTAGGGGGGCCACATGCCGAAGGCATGGCCCACCTACTACTATCTCACATATTTATTCCGCGTATTATACTAGCTTATAGTTCTCCTCGCCACCAAAACTTCGGCACCTAACTAGTCCCGCACGGTTTGGCGGATCGGGCCCAAAGTTGGCACACGCGTCGGGACCAATGGTGCGATGCGTGCTTGTATAAAACTTTCTCATTAGTCCGAAGGTTCGCGAATTATTAGCGAAAACGTCGCAAAAAAAATCCCATAGGAAATGAATGGGGAGAGGGAAAAAAAAGCATAAAAAACAGCACTTCACTGTGTCGGCATACATTCATGTAGAAAAACAGTTTAAAGCTCAGTTTGTAGATAAATCCTTCGTCTATTTAAAACTGAAGACGGCATGTTGATAACTGCTACAGTTTTTGTATAATCAGACCTCAAGCGCCACAAAGTTTTAGCAAAATCCACCCTTCTAGAGTGGAGAGACTGAAAAGCTAGAGTGTGAGGCAGCCGTTTTTTTAAGACCAAAAAACATTTTAAACTCGCCCTCACGGCCACATATTTATAGCTAGAGTCACCATTTTTGGTCAGTTTGTAGACTGAAATCTCTGGACCCACACAATGTCTTCGGAATTACGGTAGGATTAATACTTTTCCTTAAAAACCCTCCAGACCGACCTAAAGTCGATCAAAATCAGAGCCGTTTTTCATTGGTTTTGGAGCAGCAGTGGGGAGAAAAACGAATGACATTATGTGTTTTCAACTCGTCATAAATATTTTTCTGAAAGACACACATACACCAAAGTTGGCATAGTTGGAGTCGAAGGATGGCTGACGCTCACGGTGAAAGAATTTTTTGAATAACTCATACGGTTTTTGCTCAGCAGTCGTTTGTTCGGAGGACATTTTAAGCACCAGAAAGCTGGGTGACAGTGAGCTGCTGTAGCTAGCTCAGTTAGAAGCTAAGGACTGAGGACCCGTTTTTTCTTATTCTTTCTCTTCCCATTCAGGTTGTAGATGACCTACAGCCATGAAAGTTACTCCAATTGAAGACAAGATATAGCTGTCGCTTAGATAAAAAGAATTTTTCAGATATCATTTATGGTTTTTACTCAGCAGTCGTTTGTTCGGAGGGGTGCTTTAGCAGCAAAAAGATGAGAGAGGAGCTGCTGCAGTTAAACCAATGGTAGGAGCAGGTGGGACCCACCATTTTGTTTGTGCTTCGTTTTGGGTTGTGAAAGACCTACAGATATGAAGGTTACCCCAGTCTGAGACAAAGGATAGATGTTTCTTTCACTGAAAGAATTTTTCAAATACCTTTTACGGTTTTTGCTCAGCAGTCGTTTGTTTGGAGGGTAAGCACCTGGAAGCTAGCTGACAGTTAGCTTCTGCAGCAGCCTGCTAGTGTGCAGCTGCTGACATCTTAGTGTGAGGCGGCCGTTTTTTTTAAGATAAAAGATTTTGTTCTTGCCTCACGGCCACATATTTGGAGCTACAGTCACCATTTTTGGTCAGTTTGTAGGCTGAAACCTCTGGACTCACACAATGTCTTCGGAATTACGGTAGGATTAATACTTTTCCTTAAAAACCCTCCAGACCAACCTAAAGTCGATCAAAATCAGAGCCGTTTTTCATTGGTTTTGGAGCAGCAGTGGGGAGAAAAACGAATGACATTATGTGTTTTCAACTCGTCATAAATATTGTTCTGAAAGACACACATACACCAAAGTTGGCATAGTTGGAGTCGAAGGATTGCTGACGCTCACGGTGAAGAAATTTTTTGAATAACTCATACGGTTTTTGCTAAGCAGTCGTTTGTTCGGAGCTGTTGCTCCCATTCAAAAAAGCCTGAGAGCTAAGGAACGATAGTGCTGCGCTTTTCTCTCTGTCACTGACAGGCTCGTTAAGCGTTGTCAAGGTAACCCGTGCTTCAAAGAGATTTTACCTCTGCTATTTTAAACAGCACATATTAATCTAATGGAGGGTGAAAGCACTGATTTAACATTGGGAAATGGATACTATATGACTGCTGTCCATGACACTTCCCTTGCCACTCAACACTGATAGACTTTCAAAATAAGACTCCAGGGACCCTACAAAATAAAAGCCTCTATATTTTTTACATATATTTATTGCCCTATATGGCTCAACATTATGACCCAAACTCAATCCCATTTTAGAGAATAGACTCTAGGAGACTGTTTAAAACACAACCTAAGGCAAATTTCAAAATAAAAGCCTCCCATTTCATCTTCATCTACTGCCCTAATAACATGGAAAAAGAGTGATTTAACGATTGGAAAGTCATCAACTATCATTGCTGGGTCTGAACATTTTCTCTAAACACAACTCTGTTGGACTTTCAAAATAAGACTACAGGGACCCTACAAAATAAAAGCCTCTAGATTATACTAATGCAATAATTGATGCAAATGGCTCAACATTATGACCCAAACTCTTCCAGGTTGTTTTTATTAGACTCTAGTGACCTTTTCAAAACACACCCCAGAGCAAATTTCACAATAAAAGTCTCCCATTTACTCTGTAATACAGCAGCTATTCACCTAATAACATGGAAAACCAGTGATTTAACATTTGGAAATGGATTCTATATCACTGCTGGGCATGACCCATCTTTTGATGCACATCCATGATAGACTTTCAAAATAACACTACAGGGACTCTACAGAATAAAAGCCTCTTCCTTATACACACTCATACATTCTGGCATATTGCTCATAGCCATTGGTGATTTCATCACTGCAATGGCTCTTAGAAGGCGGGCGAAGCCCGCCATTGGTGATTTCATCACTGCAATGGCTCTTAGCAGGCGGGCAGAGCCCGCCATTGGTGATTTTTTTCATCGTTGCAAGGGCTCCTAGCAGGCGGGCGGAGCCCGCCAACTGCGCTTTACCCACTGCGGTTCAATATGGACAACCCATATTACCCTTGTGCATCATATGCTGTGCACGTCTATTTCCCAGATTTCAGCACAAGTGGCACACAGCTCTCTTTGCCCATGACCTAGCCCTCTTTCCTTCCCTCAGCAGCCCTCAAAGGCGTAAGCAGTTGGTCTGGGGAGCCCCAATGTCACTTGCCAGGGCCGTATTGGCCCAGTTACCCAGACGGGCAGTAGGTGGCCCCCCTCAAAATTTCTTTAGAAATTTTCTAGTTGAATTTACACTTCATCCTTGATTCTAGAACAGGTAGACAAACATATATCGGTGGCTAAACCGTACACAATGAAATGATAACTATTACCCCACCTGCACTCTTAGAGTACATTCACAAAGCATGCTAAAGTGCCCCAAATCCGTTTTTGTTTTTTTTGTTTTTTGCTCATATGCTACCTGTATCCGATCTTTTCATGGCAGTCTTAACAACACAGATCTGATTTTTTCCGATGCGACCCAGACCACTTAGCTATGTGGTTCTGAATTTGCTACGTATCTGATCTTTTCAAGTCCGTCCTCTGTCTAAACAGCCAGGTCGCATTTATCCAACCTGAACGTCATTAATACTCAACAAAGGTCACAATTCTGTGTCTTGCTACGCAGAAACGGGAAGAAAAACAGCAATTTTATGTCTGCTTCTGTCTCCTTGAACCCCAGTCGGCCTCGGCAGATGGCCGCTCACGCTGAGCCTGGTTCTGCTGGAGGTTTCTTCCTGTTAAAAGGGAGTTTTTCCTCTCAACTTTCGCTACAAGCATGCTTGGTGTGAGGGATTGCTGAAAAGACAATAAGTCGATGCAATTAGCTGGTTTTCCGTAGATAGAAGCTTTTAATCAGTTTGACTGTATGATCTGGTTGAACTGTAAAGTGTCTTGAGATGACATTTTTTGATTATATATATATATATATATATATATATATATATATATATATATACTGAAATTAACTGAACGATCATGGTGGACGATAATGCGGCAAGCAATCTTTATTTTCAACCCCTTGAAAAGATCTGAATTTGTGAGGAGGTTGAGGTTGGGAAGATAATGAAAGCTTGCTAGATGCGTTCCAGCACTCCCATCCATGTTTACTTCCGTAAACACAGCGCACGCTCGCTTGTGACATCATTGCGTCCTCTACTGCACATGTGGGACACTTAAGTTGTGTGAATGCAGTTCACACAGGAGATCACATACAAGTCGTATATGTTTGGAAA